GTTGTGCCTTTTCCAATTGATCCACCTATAGCTTGCTCAACTTATCTTTTTTCTTTAATAGCTCTTCAACAATAAACACCCTAGCTTCGCTGCTAACATCCCAAGCAAACCCTAGAGGAGGATAACCATAGAGAGTTTGAAATGGTGTCATTTTGAAAGCAAAATGGTAACTCAAATTATACCACCACTTTGCTAGAGCTAACCACTAAGCCTATGTTTTTGGTTTAAGGAAACACATGCAACGTAAATATTACTCTAAACACTAGTTTAACCTTTCAGATTGTCCATTAGACTTAGGATGATACGCTATGCTTAGATGTATAGCTCAATTAGTTTCTGCCAAACTGAACCAACAAAACCTTTGTCCTTATCAGATATCACTGATTTTGAGGTACTATGAAGTTTACAAATTTGGTTAAAATATAGTCTGGCCATATTTATAGCAATATAGAGATGAGCTAAAGGCAAGAAATGTACATATTTAATGAGTTTACCAATAACAACTATGATGTAATTGAAACTTTGTGTCTGAAGCAAACTTTCCATAAAATCCATAGTAATCATTTCCCAAACTTGATTAAGAATAAGTATAAGTTATAGCAGACTTGGATATGCAATATGTTCATCTTTGTTCCTTTGGCAAACTTCATATAGTTGAACATATTATTGTACTTGCTTCAATATTCTGGCCGTAGAAGTAAAGCCACAATTTGTAGTAAGTTGCTTGCACCCCAAAATGTCCACCTTAAGGAAAATCATGCAATAATTGTAGTACCTAATCATGTAGTGATCCTTAGCTTCTTAAATACACCCTACCCTTGAACTTGAGTACTTCATTAACGAATGAGTATTGATGATCATCAGCATGTTTAAGGGTAAGAAGAGTAATTTTTTCTTAAGCCAGTGCATCATTTTCATAACTCTGCTCCATTTCAGTAACCCATTTTAGAATAAGGGTTATGGAGTTTAAGGCTTGCAAGCTTCTTTTTTCCTTATGTTGCCTTGACAAGGCATCTGCCACCATATTCATCTTATTTTTCCTATATTGAATAGTGTAATTCAAGCCTAATAGCTTAGTTAATTTTTTCTTTTGTATCGTTGTGGACAACTTATGCTCTAACAGATATATATTAGGGACCCATGATCTATTTTGATGATGACCGACTCTCTTTTTGGATAATGCCTCTATTTAATAACAGCCATTAAATACTCTTTCTCATTTATGGATAAATTAGCATGTTTTGGTCCTAAGTCCTTACTTAAGTAAGCAATAGGCTTTCTTTTTTGGGATAATACCACTTTTATGCTAGTCAAGCAAGCAATAGTCTCTCAGTAAAATGGTTTCAAAAAATCAAGTAAGACTAGTATTAGGGCTCTATGCATGGCTTCTTTAAGTTGTTGAAAAGATGTTATTGCCTTAGGCATCTAATTAAACCTATCTTTCTTCAATATGTCTGTTAAAGGCTTGCTGATAACTCCATACCCCTTGATGAACTTCTTGTAGTAGCTAGTCAACCCCAAAAACCCTATCAAGGACTTTAAATTGCTAGGTAATGGCCAATTCTTCATAGATTCTACCTTAGAAGGATCGGTTGCCACTCTATCCACAGAGGTAATGTGACCAAGATATTCAACCTATTTCTGGCAAATAAAACACCTATTTTTTTTTTTTTTTGTAAATAGCTTATTACACTTCAACACTTTAAAATAAGTTGTAAGAGTAACACATGTTCTTGTAAGATGTACTATAAATAAGTATATCATCAAAGAAAACTAGTATAAATTTCTTTAAATAAGAAAAAAAATAGCATTCATTAGGGACTAAAAAATAATTGGAGCATTAATAAGCCTGAATGGCATTACCTTAAACTCATAATGCCTATGATGTGTCCTGAAAGCTATCTTTGGAATATCTTCATCTTGAACTGTAATCAGCTAGTAGCTTGATCGTAGATAAATTTTTGAAAAGAATTCAGCTCCTCTGAGTTTGTCAAGTAAATCTTCTACCACTGAAATTGAAAATTTATCCTTGATTGTCACTGCATTGAGTTGCCTATAATCAACATAAAGCTTTTATGAACCTTTTGTTTCTTAACTAATAGGCAAGGTGAGGCAAATGGACTTCTACTAGTTTGGATGATTGATGAAGAAAACATTTCAAAAATCTACTTTTCAATTTTAACTTTTTGGTAATGAGAAAACCTATAAGGTCTGAGGTTTACAGGCTAAGCTCCTTTCTTAAAAGGTAAACTATAATTGTGAGACCTTTTAGGTGGAAGCTTAGTTGGCTCAGCAAAAATGCCTAAATATGTAAGCAATAATTCTTGTAATTTTGGTGGAACTTTTTCATTTTCTCTACTCTTTATGCTGATCATATAAAATTCCCCAATTTGCTCATGTTCCTTATTCACTAGTTTTTGTAACTTTTGACCAAAAATAAGTTTGAATTCTGGTTGTTTATGACTTCTGTTAATACCACTTGCTGCCCTTCCTTTTGAAATACTATTGATAAGTTATTAAAGTTAAACACCATAGGGTTATACTATTTCATCCAGTCAACACCAAGAACCATATCACTACCCCTCATTGTTAAGACTCTTAAATCATGTGTAAAAATGTAACCCTGCATCACTTATGCTAACTTCTTGCACTTGGCATTACTATAGAGTCTTTCACCATTGGCTACAGTAATAGTTAATGGTTTAGTTTGTTCAACTTCAATACCATCCTTAGCCTACCTTGGAGTAACAAAACTATGAGTACTACCACTGTCTATAAGGATGGTAAGTGGTTTCCCTTTTATAGTTCTTGCAATTCTAATGGTATTATGCCTTACACTTCCTATTATAACATTAATGGATATCTGTAGTTTTTTAGTATTATCTAGCTCTTCTATTATTTTTTGTTCTAAATCCTCATCAAGATTACCACAGTTCTCATTTTTAATCATCTCTGTAGCTTCAATAGCATTAAATTGTTTGAACTTACACATATGTCAATGAGAAAATCATTCACCACATTTGAAATACAAGTTTTGTGCCTTCTTTTGCTTTACCAATTGTTGTTTATTAGTTATAGGTGAGGTAATTTGAGTGGTTTTAGTGTTTGGTTATAAATGAATGTATTAATTTCAGGTAGGATCCAATATTGAAAGTAATGGTGGTTTTGGGTAACTGTTTAAACCTTTTGTTTTCAAGTTCAATGGACAATTCATGTAGCTTAGCCTGTGTGTATATAACAATAAAGTTCCTAGGCTCATTTGCTTTAACCTTGAGCTTTAAATCTTCTTTAAGCCCACTAATGAAGCTAGAAACAACATATTCTTCTATTAAATAGGGATTGAACTACATATATAGGGTTTCAATTCCTCAAATTTCTCCTTATACTCATCTACTGACCCTTTTTGGTTTAATTTATTAAATTATTGCACAACATTAGAACAAGTTCTATCACAAAACCTTAGACACAAATCACTAGTAAATTGTTGCCAAGTCGCCACGTTCCGTTGCATAACATAGCCATCAAACCACACTTCAGCTCTCCCAATCAAATACATAGCAGTAATTTCAAGTTTCTGATGGTCACTAATGGAGAATATAGCAAAATATTAATGAAGAATATAGCAAAATATTTTTCACATTTTTTAAGCCACCCTTTTGGGTTGCTACCAACAAATACAAGAAGTTCTATTTTGGGTCTTAGGGCATATATATTTCCTAAAGTATTAGAACTATTCCCAGTATCGAAACCACCATTCTTAAATTGTCTAACATTATTTTGAAAGAAATAGCTCTTGTTTTCAGGCTGATTTTTAGTTAAAATTCCATGCTCATCATTTTTGTAAGTATATTTACCTTGATCATCTATCACAGTAATCTGAACAAAGGCCTTACCTTTTTTTTTGAACTGAACAATGAAGTAAACTGATTGCTAGTGGAACTTCTAGCATATTTTAACTCAGACTGACCAGTTTTTACTTTTTGTGGTGATAACAACTCAAGGACTTGGGTAATATATCTCTGATTTTTAGCTAGCTAGGATTCAAGAATACTCATTTATTCGAGCACTAAATGAATACTCTTATGATTTTTGGCTAGCTTGGCTTCAATGTTACTCTTCTGAGCCTCCCACCATTTTGGTTCTATTTTCATTTGTTTTTAAAGAGCTTGGACTTGCTCCTGTAACTTGGTAAGCCTAGTGCCTTTTGCCATGAATTTGAATTTATTTTGCTTACCCAGACTAGTTCTAGGATGCTTTGATACCAATTTTGTTATGTAATGAATCGGTTGATTGAAGGAAAGGAAATAAGAGGAATGAAAGACCAAAATAAAGAGAAGAGAGAGTTGAGAAAGCAAGAAGAAAATTGTAAATTTTCATTCATACTCCTCAATCGCATGTATAAGATGGTTATATTCATTACATGTGCTGACATTATAATTCTAAAATCTGTCCAATACAAATTAAACACATAATAATAACAATTCAGTAGTCAATCAATTATTTATATATTATCAGCTCCTATAACCGTCCATCAGTATACTCATTTCTGTTGCTCCTTATAGTACGATTATCTCTAATATAATAAAATTAATATTTATGATTTAATAATTAATTAAAAATTATTGTATTTATTTTTATATCAATTAATAATTTTATGAAAATAATAATAATAATATATTTACAAATAAAAATATTAATTTAAAGATATATTATGTTAATAAATTATTTTTTGTATTAATTATATTTTCTTTGATAGTTTTAATGTATAAAAAAATTAAATAGAAGACATTAAAATATTTTTTAGAGGTATATTTGTGAAATAAATATCAATAATTATAAGAGTAAAATTAGATTAAAAATAAATTTTCGAGGATATAATTGTCTAATTGGAAATGCGGTGAAAATATTTTAATACAATTGTCGAATCCCACCCGATCTAAACTTTACTGAAACGGCGGCGTTTAAGGCTTAACAAACAAACATTCTCCCTGGCGCCAAAAACAAGAAACAAAATTGAAAATAGAAAGTTTTTAAAGCAGCGATGAAACCGAAGCTGACTCTGTCCATCGACGGCAACGGTAGAAAACGACGTCAGAAAGATCCAAGCAGCACGCTTCCAGTTCCACGAATTTTTAAGTCAGTTTTCACTTTCTCCACACAATTTGAAATTGAATTTCGTTAGTTTTGACGGCAACACATATTCCCATGGAACCTCCTTCGTTAACGTCTGCTTACCGATTCCGGTTCCGAGACCACAACCGCCAGGAGATGGAGGACGCCTCCCATTCTGACACTAGCTCCGGAATGTCCTCCATCTCCAGCGACCTCGACGCAGAGACCGAGCTCCAGTCCATGACCGCAAAGGTAAAACAAAATTTTAATTTACTGCTTTTTTTTTTTTTGTTAATTAATGTCTGAATATTGAGGTGAATTTTCTTTTGATTTTAGGGAATTAAGCATCTCTGTTCCGAGCTTCTCGAGCTAAAGGCGGAATCAGACGAAGATTTCCACAGAAACATTTTCTCTAATTATTCTTCCTTTGTTAGGTAATATGTTTTTTTTTTTTTTTAAATATAAACTTTGATTAGATTCATCATTTAAGGTTGCAATTTTTTTTTTTCAAATTTCATTATATTTTTGGCATGCAGAATTTTTGATGAAGTAGAAGGAATGAAAAATGAACTGATGCAATTAAAGAGCCAAGTTTTAACTCAAAAGAGGCTTGTAAAAGACCTTATAGATGGAATTCATTTAAAAGTTTTATCAGAGGAAACAACTGACTCAAATTTTCAAGAATCTGAATTTCCTGAACCAACTCCCCCAAGCAAGTTAGCAGTTCACATCGATAACATTTCAGAAACATTGGATATTCTGATGTTAGAAAATAGGGTGGATGAAGCAATAGCTATTTTAAAAATGGAGGATGAAGTTTTACAAAGGATGCAATTTGAGGATAGTTCTCCTGTGGACTTGTTACTGTTGTATAATTCAATGATTTCTGAGAAAAAGGCCATGCTTACTTTACAGCTAACATTGTCGGCTGAAAACCAGAGAATTTCTGCTGCTGAGCTTCAAAATGTGTTGGTTGGAATTTGCAGACTTGGTGACAGTCATCTAGCAACTCAATTGTTACTTAAGTATTATCATTTGCGTCTTGCGACTGGAATTCATAATCTTCAATGTTCACAATCCTTATTGGATGGTTTATATGTTAAGGAACTTGCAAAGTTTGTGTTTTCTATGATGTCTCAAGCAGCAAGAAGACTTATGATGTTATATGGAGAAACTTCTCCCCATGTTTCAAAACTTATTCAATGGGCTCGGGAAGAAACCAAATTGTTTGTTGCTTCATTTAATAAATATGTGAAGTCCAGTTCTGATATAACTGGGGGGTTATCAGCAGCAGCAGAAGCCATGCAGTTTGCAATGTCATATTGCTCCTTGTTAAAATCTCAGAGACTATTCTTGAGGCCGTACTTGATCAAGCATATTCGTCCTTGTATGGAAGAGGTTCTACAGATACATATAAACCATTTTAAGAAAGTTATCAGTATGTTCACGGCAACTGAAACTTGGGTTTTGGGTAGATATCTTATCTCAGGGATTTTAAGTGAAGGGAATTTTATGGTTGTTGGACAGCAGCTGGAATATTGCATGCTCACTAACAGTGGCTGGAAGTTTTTAACTCTGTTGCAGGTTTGCTTATCTCTTTTCTAGATTAACCCTGGGACTAAGTAAGCATTTTATGCATATGGTTGTGTGCATTTCTTTACTGGTAAATTCAAGTTGTCTGTAAAAGTATAGGATATACAATTGTTCTCATCCTCTATCTCTGACCTAAGGCCTAAACAACCATGGCTTTCATTTTTAAAACAAGCTCCTTTAACATATGAAGCTACTGCTATCAATTTCATTGCATGGACAACTAGATATCTATAAATCCATCTAAATATCTACCTATTTCTTTTGTTTTTAGAGTAATGACGCTATAGCTACCTTTTTTTTTCCTTGATAAAACCAGTGAAAAGATCAAACTCTGAAACCAACACTATAGCCAGCAAATTTAGTTCCCTCATAGTTTGTTGGATTCACTTTAAGAGTACCACGGCCTTTGGGAAGTGATGGAATGCTGTTTTCTGAGATGTCAAACAAAGGATAATTCACCAGGGATGACAATTTCCCTTATGTTCAATTGAGCAATACTAATATTGTAATATATGTACCTGTAGGTGCAACTGAATTTTACATATACACTTTCCCTCTTTTCAGGCTATCATAGCAGATGTCAACCCCTTACTTGCCATTCAAATGGAAGGTTCTATCCTTAAAGGACTCATGAATCTCTTCACAGAGTACATAGCCATACTTGAGAAAGCTATTACCTTTGAAACACATGTTTCTGTGAAAGGTACAAGAAGAACTTCAGCAGAGTCATTGTCAAAACAGATTTCTTTGCTGGCTAATTTATCAACATTACAATATTTCTTCTTCAAGATCATTATAAGTTTCTTCAGGGGTACTAATCACATGAATTCTGAGCCAAGAAAGAAAAAATTAATTGATTTTCAACTGAAGGAACTCGATGGTTGTATTCTGTTCATTCAAGAAGCTGCTGCTAAGCTTAAAGCTCATTGCTTCCAGCAATTTATAAATAGAATGATGTCCCTTGATGGCTCTAAACTTATGCAAGAATCCTGCAGTGATAGCCAGGAAGAGCCTAGCACGATTCATGATACAATGCCATCTGTTGCTTTTCAGGTAACCTTTGCTTCTTCTGGATATAATGCGACAAACATGCTTTATATGCTTTGATAAACTGGTACAAACCCTTTGGCAACATCATATCCCCAAACTAGTAAGATGGTATAAATGTCCTGTTCACTTGGTAAAGAATTGAAAGGGGAGAAACATTACACTATAAAGCACAAGCGAAAGTACTTTAGCCACACCATGCAAAAAGTTTTCATGGTACTTGTTTCTTGTTGTCAAGGTTTATGTTAGTTTTCCAGCTTGGTTGTGAACTTCTGATGGCACTATTTATAATTATGACAACATCGGTATTTCATTTGTTGGATTTGGGCTGTTTTTTGTTTATAGATGTTCTTTTGGCCTCAATTTCCATAGAAAATGGCAATCTTGTGAAAAAGAAAAGTAGCAAAAAATATTTGGATTCATTAGACACGACTTTTCTCCAATGAGACCATTTAGGGTTCAGTTTCTATCTTGTTTCTTATGGTTTTCATTGTGGTTCGCAACAAGCAGGTACTGTTCTTAGAACTAAGAAAAGTTGATAAACTTGCTGAAGACAATGTCTTTGAAGAGGACTGGTTGATGGAGCTGTTAAGGGAGTTGATAGAGGCTATATTTTCTTGGATTGTAAACAAGAAGGAGATTTGGAGAAATACCAAAGAGAATTCACCTTTCCAACTTTCTGGCATTATCAGTCAGGTATATAAATTCGAATGCCAGAAAATTCTTGGAAATGAAGTTTCTTTCACCACTATCTGCATCATATTCTGTTGTTTATCTTTAGAATTTAGATTTGCAGTTTAGACACTCAACTTTTTTGGCACTTTTACCTAGTGAACGCCTTTATTCTTACCATAGTATGTGGATATCTAAAACCTTTGGTTCATTTATCCAGATAAATCTGCAGGAAGAAAATAATGGTTAACATTCAAATTACAGTGTCCTTTTTCCAAATCGTTGGCTGTAATAAAAGAAATCTATTTTCTGCCATTTTAACATATTGAAAGCCTGTTCCCTCTTGAAACCTCAAGTTTTGAACTCTCCTACCATATACTCTATCACGTCCCCTCTTTAGTTTTTTGCCCCACCTCTAACAACACCAGATTGTATTGACTATGTGCTTTGTACCTGCAGTTTAGAGTTCCTAAATTAATTTTCTGCACTGTACCTGTAGTGTGTATACTTAGGGGAATTATAATTTCCATTTATGGATCAGTCATAGAATCCTGAATAAGTAAATACTTATTGAGAGTTTTGGGACTTGTAAGCATATGTTTCTTCAGAATAATTCAAAGTTTACAGTCAACGGCAAATAATACAAGTTGTTTAAATTCTTTTATGCCTTTTTTTTGTTTCTTACCTCCCTTCAGACCACAACTTTCTGGCAGTAAGAGAAATAAATTGGAGAGGCTCGAATAGCTTTCCTCTAGACAGCTTCATTATATTTTCAATATATGCACTATTATCATGGTGATTGACATGCCAAATCTTGTTGCTAAAACAGTTTGTCTTGGACATGCATTTTCTGGCGGAAATTGTGAACTCTGGAGGATATTTCTCCAAAAAACCGTTGGTTCTCCAAAATCTTGTGGATTCAGCATTTACTTCAGCTGGTCTTGAACCTAAAAGGTAATTTCAAGTCACTGTAGAATGACAGATGCTAGAAAATATATATTTTTTCTCATTTATAGATTTATGCCATGCTTAAAGAATCTCCACTCTACTATGCTATCATCCTAAAGTCTGGATATAAGATGTAATGCAAACTTCTTGGGCTTCTCACAGTCATTTAAGCATGTAAAGGCAATGGAGGTTCTATTTGTAAAACAAAATCTCCATTTTCTGACAAAGTCCCAGTTCATCAGGAATCTTGGGACTTTATCTCCAGGTTCCATGATATTGGGTAAGCTAATAAATAAAGCTGATTTGCTTGAGAGATTTGGAGTTCAGGTTTTCTTTTATAGTTCTATCTTTTTGTTCCTTTAATCTGTTCTATTGCTTCTGTTGTATGTAAGGATGTGCTTTTTTTCCCACGCACTTCTTTTGATAGATATTGTATTACAACTTAGTTATTCTGCGATTGAAGTTTTAATCCCTCTGACGTATGTCCTATTTGTTGATAGTGATGGATGGGCTAAAAATGTTGCAACTGAAGCAATTCAAAAGCTGCTGGAGATTGAGAAGATGCAACTGTTTCTTGAAGATGATTCTGTTGATAGTTTGGAGGAGGAACCACATGAAAATGACCCTGTTCACGATGAAAGTAGAAATGCTATGAAGGATTCTCTGGTTTTGGATGAGGATCCACCAATCACGGATAGAGCTGAAGTTGCTATTACAACAGAAACAGTGATGAAGGCGGAAAGGCCTCTTGAAAGGTCACCATCTCTTTCTGATGTAGAGGATTTTTCTGTTGATAAAAATGCCGTTGTTTTGGCAAACAATTCTGGAGGACCAGAAGATGTGGAATCAGAAAATGGCATTAGCAAAGCATGCGACGAACTGGATTTACAGGAGAAAACTGATTTGTCTGATCCATCCTCATCCCATAGTACTAACGGTGCTTCAGATCTAAGGGTTCCTGTGAAGGAGGATGCTGGCAATGAAGTTGATGACGCTCATTACCGACAGACGATGGGCAGAAAGTTGTGAGGGACTGAAATATTGCTTCTGCTTGATATTCTGCAATAATGGAAAGTCATATAGAGAAACAACCTGGAGATATCTGACTCCATAGACTGGTAAAAGGGAAATGAAAAAAATGTATAAATCATCACTGGCAGTAGAAAATGGTTAAAAAGCAGATGAAGTGAAATCCAGGATTGTTGATGGTATTGACAGATATGGGATTTGGCATAAAAAATTAGTTCCTCAGGGTGAAAACCTTTCTCGTTAATCGTATGGAAGGTAAGATGCAAAGGGTGTTACTTGAAGAGATTGTTGAGGGAAATATTTGATTCAACCCAAATGGGGCTTAATACAGTGGACGGCACCGCAAGCTTAAATGACTTATTTTCATTCACAAGTTCTGCTGCATGATTTCATTCTATATTCTGAACCAAATATGCAAGGAAGAAGTTCTATCAAACTTTGTTTTTTCCTTTATAACTTTACTATCCAACAATGCAAATTTTGAAAATTTTAAATATATATTTATTTTTGTTGTCTGTATTTCTTGTAGCTTCATTCCATTCCCATCAAACTATATGTACCTTTTTCTTTTTAAATCTTTTGGGATATAATTGGGTTTGTACTCAGGCACTTGACCCTAGAGTTCAGTCTAATATTGCTTGCTTTGATCGGTGTATATTTTTCATTTTGAAGCAATTAGAACAAACAAAATCAACATAAACACCGTAAGTAATTAAGGTTATAAACTTTTATTTCATTGTATTAGAGTTAATCAAGTTGCAAAGCCACATTTAATGCTCCAAAATTAAAAAATAAGAAAATTTAAAAGAAAATTTTTTATTAGACACTACTCAAATTTTTTTATAGATAACCCTAAAAATGACAAAAGATTGAAAAAAAAAATTTCTGAACATCATAAAATTGATAAATCTATCAATAATTATATAAATATTATAAGTAACACTACAAGAAAATGAAAAATTAATGGCAGTTTTGTAGTAGCATTTCATTTACAAATATCGCTAACTTTTGTGTTTTTATAAAATTTAAGGCGTTTATTATCAAAACGTCACTAAATATTCAAATAGCGACATTGTTATTTATAAACGTCATTAAAGAAAAAATTTGTGGCGTTTATTGACTAAAACGTCTTGAATAATCTTGTCTAAAAAATTAGAGCGATTATTGAAGACATTTTTTACAGAAAACGCATTGAATAATACCCTTATAAAAAATGGATAAGGGATTATTGAAGGCGCTTTTAGCAGACAACATTTTGAATAATCCTTTCATAAAAAATAGAAGCGATTATTGAAGGTATTTTTTGCAAAAAAAATACCTTTAATAATTCTCCTAAAAAATTGTAAAAGATTATTGAAAGCGTTTTTGGTCAAAAACACCTTCAATAAATTTCATTGTCAATAAATTTATCAAAAATAGAGTAGTATTCGATTATTGAAGGCATTTTTTGTAAAAAAAAATACCTTCAATAATTCTCTTAAAAAATTGTATTGAAGGCATTTTTGGTCAAAAACACCTTCAATAAATCTCATTGTCAATAAATTTATCAAAAATAGAATAGTATTGTCGTTTAGAGTATACGGTCATTAACAATAAGCTCGTAGGTTTGATCTTTCTTTTTATCATTTTTTAGATTTTTTTAAAGGATTATTGAAGGCGTTTCTTGAAGAAAGAGATTGAACCTATAACCTTATGATTAACGATCGTATGCTCTAACCAACAAGCTATTTCATTTTTGGCAAATTCATTGATAAGAAGATTTATTGACGATGTTTTTGATAAAAAAACACTTTCAATAATCTTTTACAATTTTTTAAGAGAATTATTGAAAGTGTTTTCGGTAAAAAACGCCTTCAATAATCATCTTTATTTTTTATGAGTAGATTATTTAAAGTATTTTTCACTTTAAACGCCTTTAATAATCCCTCATGAAAAATTAGAAGGGATCATTAAAGGTATTTTTAGCTAAAAAATACCATCAATAATCCCCTCTAAAAAATTAGAAGGGATTATTAAAGACATTTTTGGTAAAAAAAAATGCATTCAATAATCTTTTCATCAAAATTTAAGGGAATTATTGAAGGCGTTTTTTTACAAAAAATGCCTTCAATAATCCCCTTTAATTGAATGTGTTTTTGATCAAAAACGCTTTCAATAATCTTTTTATCAAAATTTAAAGGTATTATTGAAAACGTTTTTTGCCTGAAATGCCTTCAATAATATTTTTTTGCAAATAGTGGCATTTTTTAAAAAGTAAATGCTACTATCGTGAAAAAATGGTGCAACTAAAATTTTTCCCCAAAATTGAAACCCCTTCTTTCTTTGTAATTTTTTTTCCAAACTTTTTTCTTGGAAGAGAATGTTGAGAAAGAAAATTCAAATCAAGAAGATTGATAACGTAGTAACGAGGTAGGTAACTTTCTCAAAAAGGAGATAAGGACTTTTCAAAAAAACTTATGAGCTTTCCACTCTTTATGATGCTGAGATAGCTCTTCTAGTCTTTTTAGCCACTGGAAAGCTCTTTGAGTACTCCAGCATAAGGTTGGTCTCACTTATCTCATATCTATATGTGAATGTTTTACCTTGATTCTTGCTCTATCTTTGTTGGTTTAATATAGAAATCTTTGCTTGCTGTTCGATTTAATGTGTTGAATGTGCTTGGGTGAGTGTGAAAAAAAGTGAGAAACGTAATTGTTTTGAAAGAAGATCTTTCGAATCAAGAGAACTATATAAAAGTATAAGTTCATGATAACTGAATGCACTTAAATCTTGTATTTTATTACAAAAAAAACTACTTTTAATAATTTGTCAAAAGATGAGGGGTTTTGGGGTGGGAGGTCATGGTTTCACATAAATGTCTGTATGATATTTATTGATGCTTGTTTGTACTTTTTTGAACCTTATTTAAGCTATATTTTATGACTAATCAGCTATCTTATAAGAAGTTTATGCTTTCCATATATCTTTGCTAGTGCAACTTAGAGCACAAACTGATATTTTACCTTTCATTTTTTTTGTCAGAATCTGATTTGCTGTCATTTTCATTTTCTCTCAAACCAAATAGCTTTTAGTTTTCTTAATTGAATCTTATTACAATTTTAGGTTTTCTACAATCTTTTTGAATGTTCTTTAAGGTTTTCATAATGAAATTTACAAATTCTCATGATTTCCTTTTCAAATTCTGTAAAATTCACGTTGAACTCAAATCTGGTTTCAAAGTCACACACCTAACCTATCTTCAGTCTTTTGATCAAAACTTAGTGAATTCTAGCTTGATTTACTTCAATTTTTTTTCCTAGATTCCTAGTTCATAAGGCTATAATCCAGTAAAAATTCAGCCTCAAATTCCATCTGTACACATACAATTAATTCTTCAAAGTTAAGGCTAAATCAACAAGGCAGAAACCATCCCTGCATGAAAACTTGATGAATGATGATCCTCTCTCCTTCTAGGTGTTCGATTTGATTCTCTCATACTTTACATTCTTAGTTTTATATGTTTACTCATTATTTTTTAATTGATTGCATTTATTTTCATGAATTCATTTGGTGTTTGGATAGATTTAGTTGTTAATGCTCTGTTTTTCTTTGTTTTGAGTATCACTTGAGTTGCTAGTTCATTAAGCTATTTTTTCTTTATTTTCCTACCATTTTTCTTGTTGAATTTTGCAGCAAGCTTGATTGATGAATTGTTTCTTAGCTCATTTCAAGTTCATTTTCATTATAAGCTTCTAGATCTAATTTTTTCTTTCATTAACTCAGTGAGTTTCAGTTGAATTTTACTTTATATTTTAGTTGTTTCTAGTTAATTCTTGTATTTTCTTGCACTTTTTGTTCTTCAAATCAGTTTTCCTTTTGGTTCCTTAATTGATTTTTTCAATTACAGTTTATGATCACTTGTTTTAGCATCAATTAGATGTAGATCAATTAATTCACGTTTGGTTACAAGTTAGTTGTTAGTTGCAGTTTTATGTTATTTCATTATATTGTGCAATTTTTCTTCAACTTTTGCTTTTCAAATTGATTTCTCATGATGTTTTTTATAGATCTTTGAAATTTCAGCTTGTTTTGAAGAAAATTTAAAGGAACAAAAATAAAAATTTAGATTTAATATACTGGTTTTGAGATATATTCTATTTCAATTATATGTGTGTGTTTAGGGTTGGAATTGGATTTGTTTTGAACCAATTGCTTTAAAGTTTGGGCTACTGCACTTGCAATGTTGATAACTTATTTGTAGAAGAATTTCCTTTATCTAATGTATCCTAAGGTTGATATGTGTTAAGATACTCTTACTTGTTTATTTGAATGAAGATCTAAATGTGGTCAAAGGGTTATTTTATCCCAAAAGTCAAGGAATTTGGGCTTTTTTCATAAATTGGTATGATTGAAAAAGGTAAGAAAATGATGTTCTAGCTTTAAGCTTTTAATGTCGAAATAAAAAATTAAGTTAATTATTTTAGTATGACCCATTATAAAAAAATTAGTTTTAGGGTTCAATCTAATTATTTTGTCACACCTATAAATCACAATCATCTTGTTATTAACTATTGAGTTTGGAAGTTATATGCAATATGCCATTTGTGTTTATATCTCTTTCAATTAGAAACTTTTTTGTTAATGCCATCCCCTTGAATCTTATTCTTCTTCTGCTTTTGTATTATAAAACAGCATGGCTAGCAATATTTTACATGTGTATGCCAATTGGATATGCACTTGGATGTGTTTACAGTAGAATAGTAAGTTTTTTTTCTAGCTTTTTTATAGGTATTTGTTAAACTGATATCCTTAATTCCTTCTTAGTTTAAAAATAAAAGAACCATTCTTATTTTAAATACGCCAAGTTTTACTACTATCTATATTTTATGAT